TTAAAAATCAACCAGACTTCTTTCTTGCATTTGGTTGAACAAACATGTACAGGTGGTAGTGAACTTACCTGTTAGCAGCTGAACTCAAAATATTCAGATAAGTGTGGCACCTTGATAACGTCTTCCGGTAAGCTCCCTCTTAATTCTTTAATCACACGTAATAACTTAATTAGAACTTTCTATCCTTTCAGAAAATTCCAACAGTGTCCCATATTGTCCTATTCTGAACTTTTGTTGATAAAGTCTACTTCGACTTGAACCAGCTCTAATGTTTTCTTTTTAAAGAGTAAATTAATTTTCTAAATTAGGAAAATAATAAACAGAATGAAATAGACTTCTGCTCCATTAGTCATTTAGTCTGCCATCAGAATTCTTCAAATACGTTTGTCTAAGTACGAACTTTAATTAGAAGTTAAAATCCTTTTTCACCATATGAATAATAGCTCTGGGAAACTTAAACTCATACTTAAATTCAAAACCAGACCTTATCGAAAATATGACCCTTACACACGGTAGAAAATTAAGTAACGAAGTTATCCAGATTTGTTTTTAAAACAGAGCATCAAGCAGTTTACGAAAAAGTGCAGCCTAATACTTCTCCCTTGTATAAACCGATGGTTTGGATAAAATGTAAAACGGTTGTGTTCAATTTGACAACTCCACAACTAGAAGTTTTATGCAAGGAAAACTTGCTTGGGTTAAATTTCAAATCCCATCCCTATTAGACATCCCTGGCAACTAGTACGTAATAAAGCTCTCACAAATCAAAATCTTTTTAGGAAGAATCAAAATGAGAGGCGTGAACAATATAGACTTACCAGTTTTAAGATGAAAACAGATGGTAGTGCTAGACGCTTCGTCCGACTGCTGGCCAGGGGAAGAAAAACGGACTGCTGGCCAGGGGAAGAAAAACGGACTGCTGGCTGGAGGGTTTTTATGATGATATATACAGAGTATCTCCCTAGGGATTCTAGGTAAAATACTGATTTGGGCTAAATAACTGATTTGGGTGTCTTAGTCTTCTAAAAATACGCTCTTAACCCAAACTGAATATTAAATCCTCACTTCAAAATATACTAACAAAAAAAAAACACTTATATACTATTAATTATTTCTTCACTTAACATTGTTGGAGCTTACTGGTCAACGTTATCTGCCACATACAAACATGGTAAAAGAATATCACATTATTCATATAAGTAATCTATTTAACTGACTAAAACAAATGAAAATGATTAATATAACAAGCTCATAAAAACGGGGTGTTACAACCCCTCCCACCTTATAAAAGTTTCGTCCTCGAAACTTAGAAGAACTTGTATAATCTCACATTATTTCCATCTAAACTTCTCACTTGGCTATAGTCAAACCATAATAGCTTTATACCTTTAACAAGGTTACTTCTTATATCCAGAGCATGTAACTTTAAATTCAAAATGTATACTGACTTTTCTTCTAATTACTAGACTGGTCGCAGTGGTAGTTTTGGGGAGAGATACAACTACTTCATATATGACCAAAACAAAGACCAAGAAAACTCTCAGTATTTAAATTCATTTCTTACGATTTCTCATAGCACTACAACACAAAATCATAAGTTCACAAGTCACAACATAGTCTATAACCGAATTAGTTTGCCTTGTTTGCTTAGTGATGTGAAATAGAAAGGCAAAAGTAACTTTTAAATTTGTCATAAAAATTTACCCCAAATACTCCTAAAAGTGAAATTCAGAATCATATTCTACTGGTATACTTACCTAGGTCGATAGAACTCTTTCTAAATTCATCCTCGGTTGCTGAAGTTCTGGCATTACTAAAAAAATGTTTCGTTCTCTGCCAGATTTAAGAGTGTCACCCTCACAAATTGCTTTATTCATGATATACCCCTTTTATGTATTATGTTAGCTATCTCCCAACTGTTCATGATAGCAGTGTTATGAGACTCATATATAAGTCTAAAAACTTTTAAGGATGACTACACTAGTAATGATACTAACATAGTATTGTATATTTACTGTTGGATCCTTATGACTTCTTCTTCTTTTATGTGTGATAAAGTACTCAAGTTTAGTGCATGTTTTATACTCTCAAGAAAAAAAAATCATTCTCTTGGTATGTTACACTTCTACTGTCTATTGTCAAGGTGGTACTCTACATGACAATCTTTGCAAAAGCATAAGGGGAAACTTCATTTGTTTTAATAATTTACTGTAATTTGACTTGCCTATTATATCCAAAGAAATCTTTTTAAAGTCTAAAGTAGATTAAACTACTAAACTCTCTTCTTTTTTTTTTGTTTTTGTTTTTTTACCACACAAGCATCTCACCATTATCTTTTCATCAAAAGAAAAACAAACTTTCTTATGTTTCTATACCCCTGGAACCCAAACTTATAACTTCACTGATATGTATCCCTGAGTAGTCAGGAAAGATGAATCAAATTGTAAATCAGATTTTGCATTTTATCTTAGAATTTCAGTTTTGAAACAAACTATTTCTAATTTCTAACGAGGTGAGCATCTATCTTATCCAATCTTTAAACATATAATTTACTAATTGAAACTAATAGCCTCAATATCTAGAAGAAAATCTTCTTGGGCTCTCTCTAAAAATCAATATGCGGGTTAACATTAATCTGTCAACATTAAAAGGAACTGTTTGCTTAGTTTTTAAATTTTCATGTTTCCTAAACACAAGATATCATAAATGTTCTGTTTAATAGAAATTTGACATTGTCAAACACATAAATGTCTCACACAAAATACTTGATAACAGGCACTCTTTGGTTTTCAATAATGACTTTATAATCCTCAGTATCACTTAACTCCCTTTAGGCCGTTGATTATCGAAAGTTATTTCTTCGTTAATATTCCACAGTATTGCTCTTTCTAACTTTAATCTTCTAACTATATAACTTAGGAAGTATCGTTCGTTCATAGTGGTACCTAGCCTTCCAAAAATAAATTAAGGAAGCCAAACAGTAAGTAACACATAATTCTATAGAAATTGACAAGTGATTACCCGCTAAATCATCGGGTAATAAATTGTACGGGTCATATCTAAGATTAACTTAGACTAAACAAATAAATTTTCCGCAGTAAAATTCTAACTCAAAATCCATTTCTTTACCTTTTTTTTTACAAAGCCTCTTTATCTTTATTATGCTTTTTAGATTTCAATTGGAAATAATAAACTGATCAAGAAATCTACACTAATATTTTTCAAAGAAAATCTGACATCATAGCTAGGTCCTTCTTACCGGTTTCATATTTTCTTAACTTTGGCTGACACTAATTTATTTAATAAAAGAATCACATTATATAATTTACTCAACTGTTGGGGTTCAACCCTTGAGTTGCTAATGATGACTCATAACAGGAGAATTGTTTGAGTTGCCAAACTCTTTATACTTTCTAGTCTCACAAATACTTCTATTACTCAAAGAGCATACCAGCTACCAACACAAGCTCTTTGGGGAATCTACACATACTTGTCCGTAATGGCTATAAGAGAACTCGATGATACCATATTATTTATTTTATTGAAACCTTCATACTCTAGACCATACTGTATTGAAACACACCTCACACATCCCTCTATCGCATGTAGCGGGTCATAGAACATGGTTTACTAGGGACTGGTGGTTCCATTTGATCCTTCACTCAACTCTTGTAATCTATCTTCTAACAACCGAATACTTTTAAAAACTTGGGAATCACGTATGCACAAACTTTATTTGCAGGTCATGGTAAGGAAATATAAGTGGTGAGACACATATCTTTTGAGAACCAAAGGGTAAAACTAATCATATGGGGATCTCATTGCTGAAAGGCTTAAAATATTCTGAAAATGAAAGTTCTTTAAGGCTTTTCAAGACTCATACTTCCTTTTGAAACATATTTTTGAGGAATTAGCTAAATACTATACTATTATATCACCTTTTAAAAAAATTTTACTTGTTTGGCTTTTAGTAAAATCACTGTCATGTGATTAATCATTAATCACTAAACGCATTTAATGATTAATCAACACACTCCAATACTTATTTTAAAATAAACATTTACAGCCAAAAGACAACATATAATCTGACCATTGATTATATATCTTAAAGCGATGTCCGACCACCAGTATCTCCTCTTGGAACCATCAAATTGATGAGGGGCCCTCCCAGCAACTCAAGATTCCAAACATGAGATACCGACGCTCAACACTCTAGAAAATTCATGCAACTTATGATACTAGTCATAAAACATTTGAATCCACTATTAAAGAGCTTTCGAAATCTAGAGTGACGCTTCCACATTTTACACACAAAAAATTAAACTATAACTTATAACTCTTAAATTTTATTTTTCTTACAAAAATATAATTAGATAAAGTAAATGGCATGGGCGGTTTATAAAAAAAACATTTTAATAAATAAATACAAAATACCACAAATTGATTTTGCATGCTTACGAAAATTCGTGATCTCATATAAACTCAATTACATGTCATGCTTTAAAAAAAAGTTATCAGAAAAACTCTTCATTATTCTTCTTAATTTAAAAATGTAACTAACAAGTCTTAGGCAAAGAATAAACTACAAGCTACATAAAAAGACAGTTGAATCGCACTGATTGTGATGTAATTCAAATACTTAATCATGAGAAAATAAAGACTATATGGCACTTTTTTTTTTATTAACTCGAAATTTAATCATGAGTAACCTCTATGATGAGAAATACTTGCTATGGAAGACCAACAAGGCTAAAATGGAAGGCTGCAAATACATAATTACGAGAGGCGTATGACCTAGAACGATTGTGTTTGTAAATAACAACCATAAGTACTACCTAAATGATATAAAAGACCTAACTCAAGAATTATAGGTACTCGAAGAAAATTTAATCTGAATAACTCGTAATAACACAAGGTTTTACGAGTTGAGTACATACTACTTTTTCTTGACTTTTCCATCTAACTAATGCCAACAATACTCAAACATATTTGTTAGGTCCCTGTTTTCTAGTCTATAAAATGTATGTATGGAAGATAGATCTGTGTATGAAGCTTTCCATTGATGTGAAGGTTTTACAGAATGATATGAGAGTTTTTAGCGTAAAAACCTTACACAGAAATAGGCTCTGCGGCACTAGAATGTTGAAAAGCTTAACCTAGCCTTTCCCTTAAGGCATATATATAGCCTGACGGGAAAGGTAGGTTTTACAATCATTTGGGCTCCTTTTCCTAGGAGGCCCATACCTAAAAAGGTATAAAACCTTTATTACAAAATTGCCTTAAAAGGCCTATTCATTATTCTAGCTAACTATAAACTAGCAAAGTAACATTGATCACAATTACAATGAAAATATCTCTAACAATCTCCCCCTTTGTGATCAGATGTTCTTGCTTCTTCTTTTCTTCACTTCTGAGCTTTAAAATAATGCTTTCTAAGATTGAGTGCATGCTCGTAATTTCTGAGAGACCTTCTTCTGTCAAGTTGTTTCTCGATGGCTTTCAAGATTTTATTGACTCTTTCCAATTCTTTGATTTCTTCCTTCGAGGCTTCATTCTGTCTTTTATCTAGATCTTCTTTCCTTGGCTGGAGCTGTTCTCGGATGATTTGCAGGGTCCCATCACAGTATTTTTGAATGTCTTCAACAATCATCAGACGCTTCTCTTCTTTGTGATTCAGATAAATGACTGAGATGGGCTTGTCAAATGTATCATATGCTGCAAAGGTTTCAAGCCCAGGTCTATCCAAGTCCGGTCGTGTAAGATTCGCCTTTGAATAATTGTGCTCAAGAGTCATCTGGAGATCATGGGAGGCGTAGAACCGAACTTGTCTTGTCATGAATCTCTTAATGGCCTCAAAACCTTCTCTAGCAAGTCTGTCTTTGTGCACTGGGAGCTCCCTGCATCTCATGAACATTTGATAAATATCATCCATGTGCAGTAGGAAGAAGTCATTCTCTTGACAGGTGAACTCCGAGCCATCGGTACGTCGTAGACGAAAGATCAGGAACTTAATCGTTTCCAAGTAGTCTTCTGTGATATCCAGGATTTTCGATATAGGACATCCACTTGTTGCGAGATTATGATTTAGAACTTGTCTTCGTTCCCCTGTGGATCTGTGTCCTAACATATATAGGTTACCTCCTCGGTATTTTCCTTTCAAATGATTGATTCCTCGCATCTTTAATTCACTGAACTTCTTGATTTTTTCAGGTTGTCGCCAGATTTTCTCTCGGATTTCTTCTAGGAAGGGGGCTTTGATTCTAACAATTTCCCATTTTTCTTTGACTGGTTCTGGTGCCTTGGGATTTTCTTTATGATTCTCCCCTTCCTTGAGTTCATCTTCATCGAGTCCAATCATTTGTGCATGATATTTGTTGAGGAATTCTCTGAGTTGCCAGCTTCGACACATTTCGTACTGCTCCGCTTCCACTCTAAGGTCATCCCACTCTGTCCACTCACGAGGCCACTGATCATGAACTAGAAGGTCTTCCAGTTCATCTTGTATTTGATTACCAGAGGGCTTAGAGTGAGCTTGTTGTTGTGTCGAAGGCGACCTGTCATGTGAAACACCGGGATCACTAGGATTGCCCGTTATCATCAGATTAGAACTAGGTTCTTTCTGATGGCCTGAATAGAAAGGTGTACTCGAAGTAGCAACCTCAGGACTTCCACTCCATCCTTGGTCTACATCTATGAAAGATGAGCCTAGGAGTGTTGTTTCTAGCTCGACCGGGCTAGATGTGGGTGAGTTGGCTGTTTGGCTTTTATGTTGAGTGGATGGTGGGGGCTGATTGTTCGAGGATTCAGGTTGGTTGGATTGCGTAGACGGTTGGCTTGTTGACGCATCACGCTCAAGTATTCTTTGTCTCTTGTTCTCCCCCTCATGAGGATCCGAATCATCGGGGTCCTCATGCGAACGTTTGTGACCAAGGACACTATCACGGCATGAGCTGTCAGGCTTAAGGATCCGAAGAAGGTCTTTTTGTTTCTGGGTTAGGTTGCCTTCTTCGGTAGCTAGTAGTTGATCTAGCATCAGGGTTTCGAGTACCTCGAACGGTAAAGTTTTAGGGTCAGGAAAAGGTGTGGTCGAAGTAGGGGAGGACACTAGTTCTGTATCCTGGGTTCCCCTTGAAGCAGTAGGTGAGTGGGGTAGGGTTGTGGATGGTTCAGAGGTTTGTTGGGTAGGTATGATAGGAAGTGGTTGGGTTTGTTGGGTATGTGAGGATGAAGGTTGGGGTTGGGTGATGTCATTATGTAACGCCGGGGTGTTCCTGAATTCCTGTGCCCGAGCGGTTATTGCTTCGTGCACCCATGGTTTAATGGTGGAATCCAAGAAGCGTTGCAAAATGACAGAAAGGTCAGTAGGGTCAGGGTGTCCGGTTACAGGGGTAGTAACCGTTGTCACAGCATCAGTAAAGATTACCGAAGTGTGGCCTGCAGATAATGATGGAGATATCTGTTGAGCAGCAGGACTTCCGATCATCATTGACGTATCTCCGATCGTTGAGGACAAGTAAAGTGCACCTGTCGTGTGCAGTGGTGTGAGCAGTGTATGTGTCCTAGAAAATGTTGAAAAAGTTGGGATGGTGGAAACTAGACTCAATGTGCTAGAAGGAGGGGTAGTGGTCTGGGGCGGAAGACCACAAAGTAAATCCTCAGCTGCTTCGTAAGGAGACAGCGAGGTGGGTATAATATCCCCTATATGTGAAACTACTACCTGTTGGGAGGCAGCAGAGTGGCTGGGTGAGGCTTGTGCATGCGCAGTTGGGCTAGATGCTGCGTCTTCTACTCGGAGACTGAAAATATCAGCCTCTGCACCTATGGGGTTAGCCCGGTTTATTGTGTCAAGGTCAGAGCAGCTGTCATATAAAGCTAACTCTTCTGCCAGGTTGCTAGCAGTTTGCACTCTTTGCACAGGAGTAGATGATGAGGCAATGTCGTGACGCACCTTGGAGCGAGTCTCACTGATGATATTTCCTTGAGTGTCCTTGATTTGGTGAGACTGCTCTTGTGTTGTAGCCCGAGAAAGCCTGATAACGAGTCGTCCTTTCTTAGCGCGGGCTTTCTCGACTTTCTTGCCCTTTGCATTGGCATTGTCGTCGTCCTCATCATCATCATCGTCGTCGTTCCTAGCCTTGCTCCCAGAGCCCTCATCGTCAGCGTCTTGTGTTGTGGCTACGCTTGGCGAATCACGGGTAAACTCCTCAGCACGGGTGTGGCCCTCAGCAGACATAGTCTGATCATCATGGGGCCAACTTGCCACTGGTCTCTGTGGCCGGGTTGAACTCTCAGGACCCTCACATACTCTCGGCTGACTCCCCGGGGTAGGCTCAAGGGGGTTTATCTGAGCCATAGGGAGTATGATACCGTTCTCCTCACTGTAGCGTATGACATGTGGATCATTTCGCCCAGCTAACAGGAGGAGAGGGACTGGAATGGGTAATGGTACCAGTGAGCGTACCTCTGGCATTCTCTTCAGATATTGGAGGGCTGGAGTGCTGACATTCTCAGATGATTTGCGTCTTTGAATAGTAGGAATTGTTCTGCAGAAGTGTCGCACCAGCAGGGAGAACCATCTCATGTATGGCAGATGTTTGATCAGATTGGTGTCGAATTTTCTTCTCCTCATCTCCAAGAACTCACTCCATATTAGAGCAGCATAGTCATATTTCTTCATGAAGGCGATCCCATGGAAGATGTATACAAGGTAAGCACTGCACTTGTCGAACCCAGTGTGTTTAGAAGTGCAGCACTTATTCAGAGTAGCCATTAGTGTCCTCCATGGGCGCGGCAAGCGAGCCGTCTTGATTTCTGACATCACGTGGAGAGGCTGTGCGTGGCCAAGAGTGATCATGTCGGTGATTACTTGTGCCTCCGGGACCAACGCATCATAATGTTCCTCCTCTGGGATCTGTAGCACTTGCTGAACCAGCTCCTTTGTGATTGTGACTCTGGTGTTGCAGATCGTGGCAGCTAGCACGTCATCAATTTGTCTGCCATTAGCATCCACATCCTTGTCAAGTGTACCCCAGAATTGTTGGAGATACACCTGAGGGACTTCAGCATTTTCGCTCAGTGCTTTCCACAGCTTGTGTCCTCTCAGAATGGAGACGACCACATTATCTTGGCATGAGAAGACTTCTGGGTCCAGTTGTGAGTTATTCTCTTTGATTGGGATCCAGTGTTCCCTAGCATAGACCATGTTGATTGGAGTATTGGCAGCCATTTCGATCTGAAAATGTTAAACAGATTAGATTATATGATCAAAATGGCTAAGTCCACACTTTGTTTCTCACTTGGGCCTCCTTTTATGATTTTTTTTTTGTTAAAGAGAAGTGGAGCCCAATTAGAAAAGATTATTGCTTTTGGTCAAGATTGGGCTTGTCTAACTTGTTCATTGTTGGCCCAAATGAAGTTTTCCCTAAGAACTTGGTTCTGGACTGGTCATCACTCAAACACGCGGCCCAAATGATAGCGCAGGGCTTAATTGCGCAAGAGTAATCGGTCAAGGGCATTTTAGATCGCGCACCCCCTAAGATCGCGCAACCCGAGGTAATCGCGCAAGGGGGTGGGATCGCGCAGGCTTCATTGTTCGCGCATCTTAGGTAGATCGCGCAAGGCATGGTAGATCGCGCAGCCCTAGTTCGCTCAGCCCACCCAGATCGCGCAGGGGCTGATATCGCGCAACACACATAGATCGCGCAAGGGCCGAGATCGCGCAACACATATAGATCGCGCAAGGGCCGAGATTGCGCAAGGAAAGCCAATCACGCAACTCCAGACAATTTGCTCAAGCCTAGCTTAATCGCGCAGGTCTGAAGATGAAGAAAATGAACAGATCTCGTATGAGCCCTAATCGCGCAAGGGTAATCGCGCATCACCCCAAGATCGCGCAGAGTTGGAAATCACGCAATAGGGTTAGCGCAAGAGCGTTGGTTCAGCCTGTTCATCGTTTTTCTTGTGTGATACCTGTGAAAGACTCAGAAATAGCAAGAAATCATGGAGATTTTACCCTTAGAGATTTTGACGAGGAGGAGATTTGAGCGAGAAAGAGGGGATTTGAGCTCTGAGGAAGTCCGAGCGTTTCGCGCAAGAGAGAAGAATGGGGAGGAGGATTGCGCGTTTTAAAAGTTTAAATAGGCCCGGGAGAATTTTCAAAGTTTAACGGGCCCATTTCTGCCTGATTTCAAATTTAAGATTGCTCCCCCTCAACACTTGCTTCTCTTTAAGAATGAAAAATTTTGCAAACTCCCCCTCAATTTATACATAATTTAGAAATACTCCCCCTCAACAGATGAACAGATTTTGAAAAGCTCCCCCTCAATTTATGCAAATAATAAAAAAATGATGCATGAAAAATAAAAGGAAAACATGTGATGAAAAAAAATGATGCATGAGAGAGAGAGAGAGAAAAAAAATATAATGCAAAGAAAAACTAAAATGCAAAACATGAAAGCACACGCACACACACAGTTCAGATTTACTCATTCGGTCAGGTTCAGCATCCCCAGCTTAGAGATCAGAAAATTGAATCTCTTTTCATCCAGGGCCTTGGTGAATATATCAGCCAGTTGCAATTCCGTAGACACAAAGTACATGTCCACGGTGCCTTTCTCAACGTGATCCTTTATGAAATGATATCTGAGGTCAATATGCTTTGTCCTTGAATGATGGACCGGATTACACGTGATGGCTATTGCACTTTGAGAGTCGCTGTAGATCGGGATGTGTGAGAATGTGAACCCATAGTCTTTCAGCTGGGTCCTCATCCATAATATCTGTGAGCAACAACTAGCAGCCGCGACATATTCTGCCTCAGCTGTAGAAGTGGACACACAATTCTGCTTTTTGGAGGACCAGCACACCAACTTATCACCAAGAAATTGAGCACCGCCAGATGTACTCTTTCTGTCCAGTTTGCAACCCGCGAAATCAGCATCTGAGTATCCAACAAGGTCAAAATCTGATTCCTTGGGATACCAAAGGCCCAGATTGACTGTTCCTTTGAGGTATCTAAGTATTCTTCTAACAGCATTCAGATGTGATTCCTTCGGATTTGCTTGAAAGCGGGCGCATAGGCAGGTTGCAAAGACAATATCTGGTCTGCTAGATGTAAGGTACAGCAAGGAACCGATGATAGCCCGATAATTGGTAGCATCGACTGGTTTCCCGGAAGGGTCAGAGTCGAGCTTCTGTGAGGGAGACATGGGGGTTTTCATCGTCGACTTGCTGTCCATTTTGAAGCGCTTTAGCATATCGTGGATGTACTTGGACTGATTTATGAAGATTCCGTCTGGCATTTGCTTGATCTGAAGCCCTAGAAAGAAGTTCAACTCTCCCATCATACTCATCTCGAACTTGGTGCGCATCAGATTGCTGAACTTTTTACAGAAGTTTGGATTCGACGAGGCAAAGATGATGTCGTCAACATAAATTTGTATCAGCATGATGTCACCCTTGTGTCTTTTGATGAAGAGAGTTGGTCTATCTTTCCCTTCGAGAAGCCTGATTCCACAAGAAAATCTGATAGTGCTTCGTACCAGGCTCTCGGTGCTTGTTTCAGACCATACAAGGCTTTCCTCAGCTTGTATACATGATTGGGGCGTTCAGGATCAACAAAGCCGTCAGGTTGTGCAACGTAGACTTCTTCTTTCAGATCTCCATTCAGAAAAGCTGTCTTTACATCCATTTGATATACTGTGAAGCTCTTGTGTGCAGCATATGCTAGAAATAGTCTGATGGCCTCAATCCTTGCCACTGGTGCAAAGGTTTCATCGTAGTCGATTCCTTCTTGTTGATTGTAACCTTTTGCAACCAGGCGGGCCTTGTTTCTCACGATCACACCGTCTTCGTCTTTCTTATTTTTGAATACCCATTTGGTGCCGATAATGGTTTTCTTGTAAGGTCTTGGCACCAGGGTCCACACTTTCAATCTTTCAAACTGGTTCATTTCTTCTTGCATTGCAATCACCCAGTCCGGATCAGCCAATGCGTCAGTCATTTTTGTTGGTTCTTTCTGACTCAGAAAACATGAGTATAAACATTCATTGACTGATGCCGTTCTGGTTCTGACTCCTTGAGATGGATCTCCAATTATCAGCTCTGGCGGATGTGCTCTAGTCCACTTTCTCTCGTGCTGTAGAGGCTGTGGAGTTATGATTGGATGATCAGGGTCAGAATATTCTTGCTCTGGTTGTGCTTCTGGGGTTTCTTGCGTTGCAGCTTCTTCAGGTTGATCATTAACGGAAGTGTTTGGTTCATGTTCAGCTTCATTATCTGTATGCCCATCATCATTCTGAGTAGGAGTGTTGGTTTCTTCAGTGGTTGGAGCAGGTAACAGGGGGTTCTGAGTGGTTGTAGCATTTATAGTGGGTGCTGCACGTGGTTGGCTGTAGAAGTGCTCAAAAAGAGAATCCAGAACCACATGCTCATCCGATCTTGTCTCACCTCCCTGCCCTCCTACTCCAGAGGATGATGGAGTTTCATTGTTTGCAGAGGTTGATGGTTCAGACTGAAAATGTTCAGAAGCCAAGTCCGCCATTTCATAGAAGCTCACATTGATGCTCTCCATGACGGTTCTTCTGTCCTTCAAGTATACTCTGTACGCCTTAGAATTTGTAGAATACCCAATGAATATCCCTTCATTTGCTTTTGGATCAAGCTTCCCCCTAGCATCCCTGTCGTTCATAATGTAGCATTTGCAACCGAAGACGCGGAAGAAGGCAATGTTAGGGATCCGTTTGAACACAATCTCATAGGGCGTCTTGTCAAATCTTTTGTGGATCACCGTCCTGTTCTGTGTGAAGCAAGCCGTGTTGATAGCTTCCGCCCACATGAAGTGAGGAAGCTTTGACTGTATTAGCATGGTTCTGGCTGCTTCCACCAAGGTTCTGTTCCGTCGTTCTACAACACCATTCTGCTGTGGTGTCTTAGCTGCAGAGAACTGTTGAGTGATTCCCTGAGCTTCATAGAATTCGGTCAGTTCCTTGTTCTTGAACTCCGTCCCGTTGTCAGTTCTGATGATCTTCACATTCTGCTGTAGATAGTTCTGTATGGTCCTGATGAACGTCATGATTAAGTTTGCAGTTTCGTCCTTGGAGCGCAAAAACTTGGTCCATGTGTAGCGTGAGTAGTCATCCACAATTACCAAAGTATATTTGCGTCCACTGATGCTATGCACGCGCATCGGACCACACAGATCCATGTGTAATAGCTCCAGGGGACGAGATGAGGAGGGAAATTGTTTTGACTTGTGTGATGCTCTCCTCATCTTTCCCAAATGACACGCAGAACAATGATGGTTGGGGGAGTTCTTCAGAACAGGCAGTCCTTTCACCAACTTCTTCGAGGAGAGGGAACTGATAGCTGGCAGATTCAAGTGTGAGAGACGTCTGTGCCATAGATTACTTTGTTCTTCAGATGCTTTGGACAGGAGACAGATGGATATGGGGGATCGTACCGATTTCAGATCAATGGTGTAGAGATTGGTTTTCCTCTGACACCTTAATAATGGTGTCCCACCCATATCCATCACACAACATTGCCTAGCATGGAATTTCACTTCCATTCCATTATCGCAAAATTGGCCTATACTAAGCAAGTTGTGCTTCAGTCCCTGCACATATGACACGTTTCTGATTGTGACGCTCTCACAGATGACATCTCCTATCCCGAGTATGGGCGATGAAGCATTGTTCCCAAACCTCACATTTCCTCCAAACCTTTCAGAATAGTTGCTCAGTAGTTCAATCTGTCCAGTCATGTGTGACGAGCAACCCGAATCAAGATGCCACACATGACTGACCTGCAAAACAGATTAGTTTCGCTTAGGTACCCATCGCCAGATGGGTCCTTCCTTATCAACAGTGAGCAATTGTTTCAACTTCTTTTTGATTTGGGATCTTAGGCTGGCTGTTTGAGAAGAGTTTTTCATTTTTAATTGTTCTGCTTCAGCCTTAGGAACCCATTTTTGTTTTATTTGAGTGATTTTCGGAGCGAGGGAACTTTCATTTGTCCTAAGTGATTGTTCAGATAAGTGATCTTTCAAAATTGGTTCACGTGATAGCCTTCTCAGATGTTTGACTGAGTGAATCTTGAGAGGATACCTTAAAAATGGCAATTTGACCTCGCTCTCAACATTCACCCTATCAATCTTGGGCTTATTCACAACATTCTTAACAATCACAGGATCTTTAGCTTTGCAAGATGAAACAGACTCAAAACAACAACATT